TTGCTATTGAAATTTTCTCGATTACTGGAACCATCATCATTAGCTTGTGTCAGATTGGCTTGCCTTTTCCGTTGCTAGTTCATTGATCTTCCACCATTTTGGCCAGAGCCTTGTGGTCTCCCGTGAAGCTTCCAACACTGCTCCTTAACGTGTCCTGACTTCCTGCAATAGTTGCATACAAGATTTGTCCTATTCCCATTTCTTGGATCTGGATGTCTACTTTCGGTGTTGGCAACGAATGGTTTTTCTGAAGTTGGTTCCTTTCGGTCTGTTGTAGTTAAAGCTGAGCCTTCCAATGGTTGAGTAATAACCATTACTCCTCTTCGACTTTCCTCAGCACGAACGATTGCAATAGTCTCGTTCAGAGACGTTAATTCTTTTTTTCCAAAAATCTGCACTCTTACTTGATCAAATTCGATATTGAGTCCCGCCAGAAAGTCATATGTTCTATCCTTCTCAATAAAATTCTTAAGAATAGTAGCATCCTCACTATCTTTCATTTTGATACATCTATAGTAATCCATCTCTTGCCACAAATTCTTTAACAAGTTGGCATATTCAGTGACCGAGAGATTACCTTGTTTAGTGGCTGTGAGTTTAGTCTTGATCTCATAGATTTGCGCCGAATTATTCACCTTGGAGTACGTCTATCGAATTGCCTCCCATATATCTTTGGCCGTGGTCAGAAACATGCAGGTGTCACTTATTTCTGGCACCATTGCACTCCAAAGCCAAGACATGACCATGGAGCCTGTCTCGTCCCAAGCGACAAATATGGGGTCTTTGGTGTCGGGTCCAGTTCCAAGGAGATGGCTAAGTTTCCCTTTCCCTTTGAGAAAAGTTCGAACAAATTGGGACCATTTCAGATAGTTCTTACCATTCAGTCAATATGCGGCTTGAATGTTCTGCAACCCACCCGTGGCCTGATGGGTAGTTGTCTCCTCGGATTGACCAGTTGTTCCAGAAGAATCTGACATCATTGGTTCGCCTTTTTACAAAAGATTGATTCCCAAGAAGAGAGCCTAAAGCTCTGATACCATGTAAGCAAGAACTGAAATTATTATTCTTAGGAATGAATCAAATACATTACGAAGAGTTGGCCATATATAGCCGAATACAATCTATGCAATCAGAAAAAGAATAAAGTTTGAATCCCATAAAATATGGGATTTTTCTAACTAAATCAGGATACTAGCTAAATGAGGATTAGTTTCCAACTAATTACAAAGTCAAAGATTTTCCCACAAATTTACAGTTGTCCCGGTTTTCCTATAAATAGAAATTGTGACTTTCCAACAAAATTTAATATAGTTATTATTTTTCATTAAAAATTAAATTAAAGATACTTATTGCAATAAACTTTCACAAATATCAATTGCAATAAATTTTCACAAATATATATAATTATTTACATTACAAAAAAATGGATGTTCGAATTTAAAGCAACAATAGTTTTTAGGATAAAGTGCTGAAAACACCTCTATAATATGTTTAGAGTGTGTGTCACACCCTTCATGTGTTAAACAACGTCATTTATTTTTATATCCATTTTCATTATTTCACAAAATATTTATTTTTAAATAATATGTAATATGTGTAAATAAGGGTAATTTTGACAAGCTTTGCCTTAAATATGTCACACGACTTATTTGCACAAATTGAAACTGTAGAGTTATTTTCTTCACATGACTGGTGTGATACTCATTGTAAACATATTATATGGATATTTTCTATTATATAAATACCCATATAAACTATAATTAGAATGAGGTGATTTGTAGTACCATAATTATTAACCTACCGTTGAGATCTTTCCAAATTCTGATAGTAAGAAATATTATTAAGTTTCACAAGTTTTGATCACTCAAAGTTCTAAACAAGCATTACTTATACACAAGTGAGTTTATTTTGTCTCAACTCTCAAGTTTATGTAGTCATAAAGTGGAGTCTGCGCGTTTTAAAAATTCTATTTGTGAGTACTTACTACTTACCTTTTGTTTTACCCATGTACTTAACTTTAAAAAATAAAAATAAAAAAAAATAATAAATAAATTTTGATTTTTCGTTTTATCCACTCGAACACATCAAATAAAATGGAATACATATTTTCAATACGCTTGTTTCTCATTTGAAAATTTGGAATTTTTTAAGTAAAAGTGCAAAAAAACTCTTGAAATATTACTAAAATTGTAAATACCCCTAAACTATTTGAGGTTGTAAATTGAATCCTTAACTATAAAAAGGTTACAAAAAGGACTCTCCCGGTCATCGGACCACATTTTTCGGCAGCCAGAGGGTCAAAATTACCAAAATACCCCCATTTATTAATTTACATAAAAATTATAAAATACCATAAATGTTCAATACCCACAATACCCTTCAGGGGCAATATTGCAACTAACCAATAGTTTAGGGAATTTTTTTATAATTTTACCTAATAATAATAAACAATATCAATAATAATAATAATAATAACAATATTAATAATAACAAAAGTAAATTGCTTAGTTGTAAGATATGTGAATCACTTTTAGCCCTGTGAATTAACAATAATAATAGTGGTAGTAGTAATAATAATAAAATTTTAAAATAATAGTAAAAATAAATTGCTTGATTAGTTACTTGATGGATTCATATACCTATAAATAATTTTTGCAAGTTCATAAATTATCAAAAAATAAATTAATTAAAAAAAAAAAATGATGTGCTAGTTGAGTTGACTGTGTAATAGTAATATATGTATTTTGTGGGGATAAATGATAGTAATATCTACAATGGACTAACAGTGTGCCAAAAACAAAAAGTATAGCAAAAACATTTAATTTTCATGAATTATATATATGTACGCGAGTAAATACCAAATTAACCGATGCAAAAAGAAAGTGACCAATAGATAGATTACGAATTTACGTGAAATTCACGCATTACATTAGTTCAGTAATATTCTCTTTCTTTACCATTGTTTTGGGCTTCATTTGTTTGGATGGAAATATTTTTTTATTATTTAGTTGTCCAAAATTTAAGTAAAATATTTACTGAGTAAAATATTTACAAAAGCCTAACAAAAAATAACTTATGATTTTGTTCTGGAAGATATTTTTAAAACAAATAAAAATTCGCCTAATTTTTCATATATTTTTCAAGAAAGATATTTTAAAACAAATGAAAATTCACCTAATTTTTCACTTTAAAAAATATTTTTCATATACACGTGTACATATATGTTTACTATCATCATTTTTTTAATTTATTTATTTGTTTTATTATATAATTTATAAGCTTGCAAAAAACTATTTATAAGTATATGAATCCATCAAGTAATTTATTTAAATTTTTATTATCATTACTACTACTAGTACTATTATTATTATTATTAGTTATTATTTATTAGTTATATTTCATCAAGCATTGTTATTCTTATTTTTAATTCGCAGGGACTACTAAAAAAGGAACCTCTTTGAAAGACCCGCACTACTACTGTTATTATCATTTCTTGCCATTCAGAATTTCTAAACCGCTTAGAGTAGCTTGGAGCCCAAACCCTTAACTATCTTGGAGCCCAAACCCTATCACCGCCTCCGCCTCCGCCTCCGCCTCCGCCTCCGCCTCACTCAAGAAAACCGCCTCCGCTCATCTCTGTTCTTCTGTGTGAAATTGCTCAAGATTCCTCGAAATCCAGATCTTCTTTTTCTCAAGGAAGTTCTTTTGATGAGCGTCAGGACTTTGCCTCTTTCACTGAGAAAAAAAAATCATGAAAACCGCTACCAAACCAGTGATCATCCGAGAAGTATGGAACCACAATCTCCTTCAAGAATTTCAATTGATAAACCAAGCCCTCCTTCACTACCCGTATGCCTCCGTGGACACAGAATTTCCTGGCACCATTCTTCATCCCCATCCCCAGATGAACAGAAATCTACCTTCTCATATCGTATCGAACCAGAATTATTATTTTCTGAAATTGAATGTCGATTATCTCAAACTAATCCAATTGGGGCTAACTCTGTCAGACGCTGAAGGAAATCTTCCCGATTTAGGAACGAAATCTGCATACATATGGGAATTTAACTTTCGTGATTTCAACATTCATGTTGACGATCACAATCCGGACTCCATTCAGCTGCTGATGCGACAAGGAATAGATTTCTGGAAGAACCAGCAAATGGGCATTGATGGCAGGGAGTTTGCTCTGCTGCTGAGTTGCTCCGGTCTGGTTTTCAAGAGGTCTCCAATGACATGGGTTACCTTTCACAGTGCATATGACTTTGGGTTTTTGATCAAGTTGTTGCTTGGGGGAAGAGAATTGCCTAATGATCTAAGTCAGTTTATTGGATTGGTGGGGTTTTATTTCGGAATGACGGTTTATGATATAAAATACATGATCAAAGACTGCAATGGACTCTATGGAGGTCTGGAACGAGTTGCAAAGTCTCTAGGTGTTCATCGTGTGGCCGGGAAGAGCCACCAGGCTGGTTCTGACAGTTTGCTGACCATGCAAACATTCATCAAGCTTAGAGAAGTCTATTTCAATCAGAAGCTGGAAGCCAATAACAAGTTTGAATTGGTGCTGTATGGGTTAGAAGTCAATTAATTGTTGGTTTAATCTTTTTACATGTATGGTACAGTTGTATCTCTTGTAGTAATCTGTAATTTCCAATTAAAGTTTAGAAATTGAAAATACTCATTCTCAGATACCAATCTCTTTCAGTTCTTTATATGAGTTATATGACAAAACCCTAGGGGTAAAATTCTTTTGTGATTGGTCCATCAAGATCCATGTTTACACTAAGGCAGTGGTGTAGACGAACATTAATGGGAGCTTCAACCTGCCACCACCAGAAAATAATAATAAAGTAGAAGAAAAATCTGTAAAAATTGATGCAGAATCCATTTGAAATAGTCATGTTGCAAATTTCATATTCTACAAGACACAAATCCTCCCAGGAAGGTGGTTTTCTTCATATGCAAAACACGGGAATATGCTTCCGTAGACCATCAAATGTTCACACAAATTTAATACAATATATTTACATAAGTTACGTAATACTAAAAACTTCAAAGTAATAAACAAGATGATTTAAGGTTGACAATTATTAGTGCAGGCATTTCCCCTGGTTTTATATTGAGTATCAATCAGTTGATCTAAAACTACCATACACCACAGCAACTGAAATAGACATTAGATCAGAACAACCTGGATGACAGCATTGGCAATCCAAAATCGAGCATCAGCAATCCAAAATCGAGCTTTCAGAGCCTAGACTGTTTTCTCCGCCATAAATAGCCTTCGTGCCCTGGGAAGCAATGAAAAATTGCTTGTTATTTTATATAAACTAGTACCCTGAATAATAAGAGACAGCAAAAGGAAAGTACATTCACCAAACAAAAAGAACGTAGTCCTAACAAACTTGTGATGGGAACTTTATTCCCCAGTGAAAATGCTTGTTCTACAGAAGAAAAAAAAAAAAAAAAAAAAAAAGAGGATATAATATATTATATGTTCCTAATCTGCAACTATTGATAATTTTTTGTCCATGTTTATATTACATTTCCTTCACTAGTATTAATTACATGCTTTTACCAACAAAAGCAAAGTCATGGTGCTCACTGTCCCATGGTGCTCAATGTAGAAGCCCTTATAATTCAAATCACACAACCACCCAATTTCCAAAATCAAATTAGAATTATGTATCTGAAAATACAATGATTAATTACCAAGTCATAGCAACTAAAAGTGTATACTTGTGACTTCAGTCTCAACGATCCACTAAAGAAAAGGTAAAATTTTTAGCATTCAAAGCATTCTTCTCATTATCAATTTGTAGCTCGACAATTACAAGTTGCTGCCAGTCGACTAAATTATTAGCTCATCTTCTCAACATTATCATTCATTTCAATTTCCAATTCTATTTCACACAATAAAACAGGGTTGGTTATAAAGAAGATGCAAACAATTTTAATGAACATGAAAACATATACATTCATTATTTTTCGTTTAAAGCAACAAACCTCATGCAACAAATTTACTATTATAGTCATACAATCAGAAAACATATACATGTGCAGTAGCAATCACCACAAATTTTTTAATTTAGGCTTATCATTTTCTAAAAGATGGAGTTTTTATATTCATTTTCAATTGGCACCCATTATTGAACAATCATGTTTCAGCTAAAATTCTTCCATACTAGCTCTTCTGGGCAATTTGTCAAGCATATAGCATGCAAGCAAAACTTAGCGTATATATAAGAAACAAACTTATAAAAGAACTAATACACCTGAGAAACAAAACCACAATGAGCACCACTCACAAACAAAACCAAAATGAGCATGAACCAATTACAAATATGAGAGAGAGAGAGAACTTTACAGATATCAGAGAAGAAAGAGAGGGAGAAAAAATTTCAAATCTGAGAAAGGAAACTTACCCAAGTCGCCGTCGTCACCGAAACGGTGGTTACCGGTGGTCCGTCGTCACATAGAGAGAGAGAGAGAGAGAGAGAGGGAGGAGGGAGGGGGGGGAGGGGACTACAACAGACCGAAATTCTAATCTGCATATATGATCTCTTTTTTTCCCTGGCACATATATGACAAACAGAGAAATATATTTAAAAAAAAAAATCCATTGAAGCCAAATAGAGAAAGAGAGAACCACTGTACGAAGCAATAATCAGTGAGACTTTAATGAGATAATCCAAAACCTTCTCGTCGGCAATGGAGGATGATGATGCTTGTTTAGAGACCATCGAAACTCCGTTGGTGTTGTCCTGTTTGAGCTCTAGGCCAAGCACATTGAAGTCGAGATCAATGTCGCTGGCACCGTCATCTTAGGTTCACAACAGGCCGTCGTAGGTGAGAGTGTGAGACTCTTTTCTCCATCGAAAATTCACTAGGTTCGGAAGCTTCGTCGAGAATTGCATTGATATGTTCATCTGAACTTGACCCTAGGGTTTATGGAGACGACAAGGACAGCCATGTCTCTACTGAGGCCATCGTCTCTATTGGCGTCAAATTGTTGGAAGATCCTCTTCACCTTCTCTGATCTGCTGCCTCTGGTTGTCATTTTTGGATTTTAGGGCTTTCAATTTTAGGGTTTTGGTTTTTTTAAAAAGAGCAGTTGATGAGAGAAGATGATGATGTGAGTGTACAATTGAAGCAAAAGGGTGGTTTGAATGGGTATTAAGTGATTAGGGTTTACACTGATCAATGTTAAAGGTGTGTTAGGGTTTCATGGTTGCATCTCAAATGAGAAGAGGGTGAGACACGGAGAACGCATGAGATGGAGAGAGAACGTCATTCTTGGAGATTCATTAATAGGGTTAAATTCGTCTTTTGCAATCTCTGATAATTTTTATTAAATTGCATTTAAAAGATGAGGGTATATATGACATTTCAAATGATTTTATCGCTGTCAGTAACAAATAATTGACATGGTGTCTGAAAGTTAAAATCAAAATTTCTCTCCATGTGAGCGGGGGGTGTCATTGTAATTAACCCTAATATTTATGCTACTTCGCACAGAATTACAACTTTAAACCAAGTAAACACAAGTCACTACTTGCATGGACACTAGGAGCCACCAGCTATGCTGAGTGCTAAAGTGTACTTATTCACCAACTATTTTGGTGTAGAATGCTTGACCTGTTAACCATATCAAAACTTACAAGTCCAATAAAAGAATATAGTAGAAATGAAATTAAGATTGCAACAGATGGAATTTCAATACAAAAGTCAAATGGAATCATGAACTAAAACCTCGAAACAAGTGAAGAAAAACCACCAGGCACATCATGTTGATCTAAAATCCCAAACAGATACAAAAGCAGAGCTTACCCTTTTCTTTACAATTTTGATCATCTCCTGAAGTATATTCCTCTCAGCAATTTGTAAATGCACAGAATCACCACAGTTCTTCACCATTGTCTCCAGAAGCTGCAAAGTAGATATGCCACGAACTTGTGGATTAGAAAGACGTTCTTGAGCAACGGTTTCCTAAATTTCCTAACGGATAAATTTGAATTATCAAGTGTTATGTTGCAAGGCAAGTGGCAGCAGACGAATAATTTTGCCGTCTTTCGCAGGATTCATATAATTAAACTAAATGAATGTAAGTTAAGCTGCATTTTCACTACTAAGAAATTTATGATTTGAAAATGCAGCTTTGAATTCGAAAGCAGCCACTTTATGCAATATAATACCAAAGGTTAATACCAAAGGTTAGGTCCATCATCAGTCTTCCCCTCCTAGCACCAATGTAGATGCAACCAAACTAGATAATGGTTTTTTAAAGCAACAAATTTTGTTTCCATTTTGTTCATTAACTCTTTGTTTCATTTTTTAACTTACTTAAGTGACTTCCACTTTCGGAACCAGCCATCTCCCAAACATTTCAAAAAAATAAAATTAATTTTTATCAGCAATGCCTAACTGTTTCATCAATAGCAATTGCCTGCTTGTGAGTTCATTCTCAACGATCCACTAAAGAAAATGTAACATTTTTAGCATTCAAAGCATTCTTCTCATTATCGATTCATAGTTGCCAGTGGACTGAATTATTAGCTCACCATCTCAACATTATCATTCATTTCAATTTCCAATTGTATTTCACACAATAAAACAGGGTCAATTATAAAGATGATGCAAACAATTTTAATGAATATGAATACATATACATTCATGATTTTTCGTTTAAAGCAACAAACCTCATCCAATAAATTTACTATTACAGTCATATAATGAGAAATCATATACATGTGCAGTAGCAATCACGACAAAGTTATTAATTTAGACTTATCATTTTCTAAAAGATGGAGTTTCTATATTGATTTTGAATCAGCACCCATTATTGAACAATCATGTTTCGGCTAAAATTCTTCCATACTAGCTCTTCTGGGCAATTTGTTGAGCATATAGCATGCAAGCAAATATCAGTGTATATATAAGAAAACTTATAAAAGAACTAATACATCTGAGAAATGAAATCACAATGAGCACCACTGACAAACAAAACCAAAATGAGTATGAACCAATTACAAATCTGAGAAGAAAGAGAGAGAGAGCCATGGGGATGGGAGAGAGAACTTCACATATATCAGAGGAGAGAGAAAGGGAGAAAAAAATTCAAATCTGAGAAAGGAAACCTACCCAAGTCGCCATCGTCACCGATACGGTGGTTATCGGTGGTCTGTCATCACAGAGAGAGAGAGAGGGTCTCTTTCATATGTAAGATATGAAAATCAATTTTCGGATGATATCTATATGGGTTCTGACATTCGTAGTAAGAAACATGTTCATATACAAGAACTTGAAATTTTGATTTTTATAGTCTCCTAAAAATTAAAAAACATGATGTATTTAAGTCTTCTCTTGTGAGAGGTTTGGCAGCAACTTAAACTAATCCAACAGGTAAGAAATTATATTTTGTAATATGTCCAATTAAATTGTAACGTGGCTATTGCCTTTTGACAAATAAAATATTTGATGCTTGCTTACAAATAAATACATATATATGTGTGTGCGCGCGCGTGTGTATATGTCCAATTAAATTTTTTTTTTTTTTTTTTTTTTTTTTTTGGCTTAAAGATTGTTTTGAAAGACAAACACAATTCAATTTTGTGATGGGACTTTATTCCCCAGTGAAAATGCTTGTTCTACAGAAAAAATAAAAAAGGATATAATATATTAAATGTTCCTAATCTGCAACTATTTCCAAGTGAAACTGTTGCAATTCAAATTTGATAATTTTTTGCCAATGTTTCTATTACATTTCCTTCACTAGAATTAGTTACATGCTTTTAATTGAGTGTTCTGTTTGATGTATACATAACAAGTGAGACCAACAAAAGCAAAGTCATGGTGCTCACTGTCCCATGGTGCTCACTGTCCCATGGTGCTCAATGTAGAAGCCCTTTTAATTCAAATCACACAACCACCCAATTTCCAAATTCAAATTAGAATTATATATCTGAAAATACGATAATCACTAAGTCATTGCTTAAAGATATGTTTTCTTAACTAGAATACCATACACTCAGCTCGCTGTTTTCAATTTGCCACAATCATTTGTCTCTTAAGAAATTAATGATTTGAAAATGCAGCTTTAAGTTCAAAAGCAGCCGCATTATGAAATATAATAACAAAGGTTAGGTCCACCCTCAATCTTCCCCTCCTAGCATCAATGTAATTGGAACCACACTATATAATGGCCTTTTAAGCAACAAATTTTGCTTCCATTTTGTTCATTAACTCATTATTTCATTTTTCAACACACTGAAGCCCAGTGACTTCCACTTTCAAAACTAGCCATATCCCAAACATTTCCAAACAAAAAATAATAATAATAATAATTTTTGTCAACAATGCCTAACTGTTTCATCAATAGCAATTCCTGTGAGTTCAGTCTCAACGATCCACTAAAGAAAAGGTAAATTTTTAGCATTCTTCTCATTATCAATTCATAGCTCGACAATTACAAGTTGTTGCCTGTCGACTAAATTATTAGCTCATCTTCTCAACATTATCATTCATTTCAATTTCCAATTCTATTTCACATAATAAAACAGGGTCGGTTATAAAGATGATGCATGCAATTTTAATGAACATGAAAACATATACATTCATGATTTTTCGTTTAAAGCAACAAACCTCATGCAATAAATTTACTATTACAGTCATACAATCAGAAATCATATACATGTGCACTAGCAATCACCACAAAGTTATTAATTTAGACTTATCATTTTCTAAAAGATGGAGTTTTTATATTCATTTTCAATTGGCACCCATTATTGAACAATCATGTTTCGGCTAAAATTCTTCCATACTAGCTCTTCTGGGCAATTTGACGAGCATATAGCATGCAAGCAAAAATTAGAGTATGCATAAGAAACAAACTTATCAAAGAACTAATACAACTGAGAGTTCAATTATCAACTTTGTTCAATTGTTATTGTTTTTTCTTCATTGGCAAGGAATATACGCACAAATTCACTTTTTTGGTCCTAAAGAGTTCAATTATCATTTGCTTTGTCAAGATATGTATGCATACAGGAATGGAATAAAGAATTAGTAACATATATATGATGTATTTAAGTCTTCTCTAATGAGAGGTTTGGCAGCAACCTAAACTAATCCAACAGGTAAGGAATTACATTTTGTAATATGTCCAATTAAATTGTAACGTGGCTATTGCCTTTTGACCAATAAAATACTTGATTCTTGCTTATTAATAAATAGATGTGTGTGTGTGTGTGTGTTTGTGCGTCTAATTAAAGATTGTTTTGAAAGACAAATATAATTCCATTTTGTGAGGGAAACTTTATTCCCCAGTGAAAATGCTTGTTCTACAAAAAGAAAGAAAAAAAAGGATATAATATTAAATGTTCCTAACCTGCAACTATTTCCAAGTGAAACTGTTGCAATTCAAATTTGTTAATGTTTTGTCAATGTTTAAATTACATTTCCTTCACTGGTATTAATTACATGGTTTTAATTGGGTGTTCTGTTTGATGGTAAATAACAAGTGAGACCAACAAAAGCAAAGCCATGGTGTCATCTCACAGTCCCAAGGAATATATGATCCCAACACTGAGAAGCCCTTTTAATTCAAATCACACAACCACCCAATTTCTAAATTCAAATGAGAATTCTGTATCTGAAAATACAATGATTAAATACTAAGTCATTGCTTAAAGATATGTTTCTTAATTAGAATACCATACATTCAACTTGCTGTTTTAAATTTGCCTCAACATTTTTCTCTTAAGAAATTAATGACGTGAAAATGCAACTTTGAGTTCAAAAGCAGCCGCATTATGCAATATAATACCAAAGGTTAGGTCCACCCTCAGTCTTCCCCTCCTAGCATCAATGCAATTGGAACCACAATATATAATGGCATTTTAAGCAACAAATTTTGCTTCCATTTTGTTCATTAAGTCATTATTTCAACACACTGATGCCCAGTGACTTCCACTCCCAGACATTTAAAAAAAAAAAAAAAAATTTAATTTTTGTCAGCAATGCCTAACTGTTTCATCAATAGCAATTCAAATCTGAGAAAGGAAACTTACCCAAGTCGCTGTCGTCGCCAAAACGGTGGTTACTGGTGAGAGTGAGAGAGAGGGGGGGCTGGTCTACAACATACTGAAATTCTAAATCTGTATATATGATCTCTTTTTTTCCCTGGCACATATATGATCAAACGGAGAAATATATTAAAAAAAAAAAATTCCATTGAAGCCAAATAGAGAGAGAGAATCACTGTACAAAGCAATAATCAGTGAGACTTTAATGAGAAAATCCATAACCTTCTCGTAAGATGATGATGCTTGTTCAGAGACCATCGAAACTCCGTTGGTGTTGTCGTGCTGTTTGAGCTCGAGGCCAAGTACATTGAAGTCGCGATCGATGTGGCCGGCACTGTCATCTTAGCTTCACAACAGGCCGTCGTAGGTGAGAGTGTGAGACCCTTTTCTCCATCGATAATTCACTAGGTTTGGAAGACTTCGTCGAAAATTGCATTGATATGTTCGTCTGAACTTGACCCTAGGGTTTATGGAGACGACGAGGACAACCACATCTCTACTAAGGCCATCGTCTCTGTTGGGGTTAAATTGTTGGAAGATTCTCTTCACCTTCTCTGATCTGCTGCCTCAGGTTGCCGTTTTTGGATTTTAGGGCTATCAATTTTAGGGTTTGGGTTTTTTCAAAAGAGCAATAGATGAGAGAAGATGATGATGTGAGTGTACAATTGGAGCAAAAGGGTGGTTTGAATGGGTATTAAGTGATTAGGGTTTGCACTGATGTGACTGATCAATGTTAAAGGTGTGTTAGGGTTTCATGGTTGCATCTCATATGAAAAGAGGGTGAGACAGGGAGAGCGTGTGTGATGGAGAGAGAACGTCATTCTTGGAGATTCATTAATAGGGTTAAATTCATCTTTTGCAATCTCTGATATTTTTTTTTATTAAATTGCATTTAAAAGATGAGGGTATATATTACATTTCACACGATTTTATCATCGTTAGTGACGAATAATTGAAATGGTGTCTGAAAGTTAAAATCAAAATTTCTCGCCATGTGAGCAGGGGGTGTCTTTGTAATTAACCCCCATATTTATGCTACTTCGCACAGAATTACAAATTTTAACCAAGTAAATACAAGTCACTACTTGCATGGACACTAGGAGCCACCTGCTGTCCTGAGTGCTAACGTGTACTTATTCACCAACTATTTTGGTGTAGAATACTTAACCCGTTATCCATATCAAAACTAACAAGTCCAATAAAAGAATGTAGTAGAAATAAAAAGAAGAGCAACAGATGGAATTTCAATAGGAAAGTCAAATGGAATCATGAACTAAAACCTCAAAACAAGTGAAGAAAAACCACTAGGCACCTCATGTTGAACTATACTCCCAAACAGATACAAAAGCAGAGCTTACCCTTTTATTTAAAATTTTGATCATCTCCTGTAGTATATTTCTCTCAGCAATTTGTAAATGCACAGAATCACCACAGTTCTTCACCATCGTATCCAGAAGCTGCAAAGTACATATGCCACGTAACTAGTGGATTAGAAAGACGCTCTTGAGCAACGGTTGCCTAAATTTCCTAACGGATAAATTTGAATTATCAAGTTATGTTGCAAGGAAAGTGGCAGCAGACGAACAATTTTGCCCTGCCTTTCGCAGAATTCATATAATTAAACAAAATGAATGTAAGTTAAGCTGCATTTTCACCACTAATAAAATTATGACGTGAAAATGCAGCTGAGTTCCAAAGCAGCCACTTTATGCAATATAATACCAAAGGTTAGATCCATCATCAGTCTTCCCCTCCTAGCACCAATGTAGGTGGAACCAAACTAGATAATGGTTATTTAAAGCAACAAATTTTGCTTCCATTTTGTTCATTAACTCTTTATTTCATTTTTTCACTTACTGATGCCCAGTGACTTCCACTTTCAAAACCAGCCATCTCCCAAACAATTCAAAAAATAATAATAATAATTTGTCAGCAATGCCTAACTGTTTCATCAATAGCAATTACCTGCTTGTGAGTTCATTCTCAACGATCCACTAAAGAAAATGTAACATTTTTATCATTCAAAACATTCTTCTCATTATCAATTCGTAGTTGCCAGTCGACTGAATTACTAGGTCATCTTCTCAACATTTTCATTCATTTCAATTTTCTATTGTATTCTACACAATAAGACAGGGTCGATTGTAAAGATGATGCAAACAATTTTAATTTACATGAAAAAATATGCATTCATGATTTTTCATTTAAAGCAACAAACCTCATCCAATAAATTTACTATTACAGACTTTACAGTCATACGCAATCAGAAATCGTAGACATGTGCAGTAGCAATCACCACAAAGTTATTAATTTAGACTTATCATTTTCTAAACAATGGAGTTTCTATATTCATTTTCGATTGGCACCCATCATGTTTCAGCTAAAATTCTTCCATACTAGCTCTTCTGGGCAATTTGTCGAGCATATAGCATGAAGCAAAAATTAGTGTATATATTAGAAACAAAACCACAATGAGCACCACTCGCAAGCAAAACCAAAATGATCATGAACCAATTACAAATCTGAGAAGAAAGAGAGATAGACATGGGGATGGGAGGGAGAACTTTATAGATATCAGATGAGAGAGAAAGGGCAAAAAAATTTCAAATCCGAAAAAGGAAAACTTACCCAAGTCGCCGTCCTCGCCGATACGGTGGTTACCAGTGGTCCGTCGTCACATAGATGGAGAGGGGGTCTCGAGGTTTCTAAGGAATGCACTGGCTGCTGATAGGTGTCATATGAGAAGACTACATGGTATTTGAAACATATTTTGATGAAAAAAATAAAAAATAAAAAATAAGGTTGCAACCCGGGCGGGCCCAACCCGAATTTATTCGAGCCCAGCTCATATTTTTGTTTGCTTGGACAATGATTTTTTGTTCTGGGCCTGGGCCTGGGCCGAGGCTGAGTTTTTTGAGCTTGAATTCAATTCAGGCTGGGTTCGGATAGATATGTTATAAAGCCCAACCCAAAATTACTATTTCTGCTCCAGGCCTTGTGAAATCTTTTGCTTAGTAAAATATATAAATACTAATAATATATACATAATATAAAATTATAAGTAAGGCCATATTTGCAGCCCATTTTTCTACACTTACACTACAATCTTAAATAAAATGTCAATTATAACATTAACTTTACAACTAAATGATTATTACTTTTTAAATGACACAACAACCCTTTCAAAATTCCTCTCCTTATATCTAATATTTAATATTTTAGGTTTCTTTTGATAAAACAAAAAAATAAAATAAATTATTTTCACGGGACCAATATATATATATATATATATGTGTGTGTTGAATAAATGGCCTCTTTTGACCGGACAAAAAAAAAAAAAAAAAAAAAATGGAAGAAAAACACCCCAAAAATTTTTATTTATTGAAGAAATTATATCTTTTGTCAAGATTCAAAAAACATATATATATGAAAAAAGATGATTCAAAAAAAAAAATTATCTGTATTAAATAAATTATCTCTTTTGATAAGATCCAAAAAAATAAAAGGTTATTTTTATTAAATAAATTATTTCTTTTTACGAGCCATAAAAAAATACCAAATTTTTTTTTTTCAAAATAGGAATTATTGACTCATTAATCATTATTAGAGGAATTCCTCTACTGAAAGTGATATTATTGACGATTTTAATATCCGACTTGCATTATTGTCTCATTATTAAAGGAATTCATTTACAAAAACTACAATGTTTTATAATTTTTCAATACTTTGCATTTTTTTTTAATTTTTCTTTTTATTTTTTGTTTATGAGTGTCAGTGTAACGACTCAAACATGTGGGTCCGAACCGTTAATCGGGTCCTTACCCGAACCCGAGATAAACTAGGTCAAACCGTCAACTTCCCATGTTCTTATCTGTCATACAAGTTAATCCGGGGTCTCAATTAACCAAGAACATAACCTCACAATCATGGTCAAACATTACAGGTCAAAAGGGGATGATCAGCCGGCTGATGGGCCCTCATCGATCGGCTGACAAAGCAGGATCAGCCGACTGACCTACAGGGTCAGTTGGCTGAAACGATGGGAAAAATGAATGCTCTCGGGACTTTCATTAAACAAACGTCGGTCTGCTGACGATGGGGGTTCGGTCGACCGAACCTAGGGTTTCAGTCGACTAATGGTGAGGATCAGTCGGCCGAAACAAGGCCTCTGAGCCCTGAACTCACTGGAATGGCATTCTGGTTGTGTTTTCTATAGACTGAACCTCTATTGGACCTATTTTGCAACCCACTTCCGAATTCATGGCAAAAACATGAGTTATAATACAATTAAATGGTGTCCATAAAATGGTTAAAATTACACTTCATTTACCATTCATCACAAAATATTTACATAGTCTCATTACATTTTAAATTACCATCAAGTGTTCTAATTATAATACATAGCCATGACTTTCAAGATGAATACACTTTACGCGAGTATGAGACTTACAAAAGAATGGCAAATTACACCAAAGTTGACAAAAGTGAATTTCTTTTCCTCCCTAAGCTTGTCGGGGATTGTCATCCGCCACTTCCTTCCCGAGTTCTGAAAAATGTTAAATGATAGGGTAAGCAATTTGCTCAGTAAGTGGTACTTAAGACACACCTCTTGTGGCCCTGTGAATCCAAATAATGAATAGGGATTGAGGATAGGGGTCATGCCATGCCGGGAGAGAATACAACGACAAATTCCAAATTCAAAATAAACTATGACGTGCCATGAAGAATGATGCCATGTATGTCGCTTCCCGTTCTCAAAATCACTTCCATTCTTTGCTTTTCAAACCGTTAATGTAACCCGTCCCTCGGTACCCCCTTGGCGACACGAGAGGAAGTCCCTAACCCCTGATAACCCCGCAGCGTCATTTGGGGCCCAGATAGCAAAACCACGCTAGGGCGATCTCCCTAATTCCCTCTAGGCTACACTAACGCCACGGACCATCGGTACACCCTTGGCGTCCGGGTTTTCACAAAATCATTTTATCAAAACTTTTCCCAAAACCCCTTTCTTTCCATTTTCAAAACAACTTTCCTATTTTTCTTACCCAATGTTATGCATGAATGCATCATGTTATTCCATGTTATGTCATTATCCATTATCATACACCAAATTCAAGTTCATATTACATAGCAAAATTTCATAAGAAATCCCAAGAGAACATCATGCTTGAAACTTGGCAAATTCTAAGAACAATAGGCTAGAAGTAATACCAATTAAACATGTTAATTTGCACAACATCAACTACACACAAAATCATATACTTTATATACACAAATCAATCACTTTAGGGCAAAATAAACACAAATTAGCATGTTAGATCACTAATCAAGTAAGATTAACTCGCAAAGGTGCAAGATTGTATGAATTAGAGACATCTACCTCTAATTGGATGAAAAGTCCCAAATTCTCCTCAAACCCTAGGATTTAGAGATCCCCTAAATGGAGGCCAAATGGAGATTGGCTCCGATCAACTTGTAGATCTCGCTGTGATCTTCAAATAGCCACAAACGGCTCTTAAAAATACTAAGTATTAAGGGAGAAATCAAGGGTTGAAGCTTTGAAGTAAAAAGAAAAAGAAAAATGGAAGCTTGAGAGAGTGAGAGAGATACCAGCGGGAGAGAAGAGAGAATGGAGATCAAAATGTGGTCTCAATGCCTTAAATGGTCTAATGGTGGGTCCTACCACTTTTCTTTTTATTTTTTCTTTTTTTTTTTTAATTTCCAATTTGCACCACATACACATAAATACACATTTAATTCACAATCACTTAAAACACATTAAATACAATATATATAATGCAAATGGATCCAATTAAAATACCCGTATGCCTAAAATTCTGGTAACGGGTCCCACACGGGACCATCCGGCCCGAAAACTGAAAAAAAAACCAAAATGACCATCTTTGCATTTCAAAGAGTCCAAAACTCAATGAAATACTCCAAACAACTCACCGACACACCTGGCACACCCCACGGTGTCCGGTACGCGAAACGGCGAAAGACGAAAACGCCCATGCAACGACAAAAATTCCCAAAAAATGAAAAATAGCAAAAAATGGAAGCATCACAGTCAGATAGATCATTAGTTTTAATCACTAATACCTATCAAAGTAATAGATGTATATTAATGATCAATGACTCAATCTTTTACATATAAAGTATAAACGAAAGAGATATACAATCAAATTATAAATAAAGAATCCTTACAGATATGCAATGTGATGTATACATAAAACAAATATATAAATCAATACCTATCAAAGTAATAGATGTATATTAATGATCAAAGACACAATCTTTTACATATAAACGAAAGGGATACACAATCTAATTATATATAAAGAGTCCTTACAGATATGCAATGTGATGTATACATAAAACAAATATATATATCAATGCCTATCAAAGTAATATATAGATGTATATTAATAATCAAAGACACAATCTTTTACATATAAACGAAAGAGATACACAATCTAATTATATAAAAAGAGTCCTTACAGATAGGTAATGTGATGTATACGTAAAACAAATATATATATAATTTGATATACATAGTGATTGAAACTTTAATAGACAACAAAGATACTAGATTAAAATGAAATCTAGAAAGGAGATTATAACTTTCTAAATAGTTAATTACCTTCTATTTTAAATAGGTCCCATTATATTTGACACATGCATAGCCACGTAAACTAAGTGAAGTAGTAAATTTTTATTTATCGGGACAGATAGTAAGACTCATATAGCCATATATATATATATATATATATATATATATATATATAGTATCTCCTAACAAGCATTGCATATCAAAATGAAAATATATATCAACAAAAAATAATCAAAACTGAAACATTGGCTATATATATAATTATATATATACACAATAAAAATAAAAACTTATTATTGTATTATTAAGGAAATTAAGAAAAACAAGAAATAAAAATCAGGAAAGAAAGAATTAAAGTTGAACACTGTTTTTGGCAATATATATTTTCTATAGAAACCCTAGGTTCCTTACTTTCTTTACTCCCATTCTCAAATCCGCCTCCCCTAACTTTCCAAAAAAAAAAGTCTACTGCCTCCCCCTCTTCTCAATTTCCATTACCCGTTGTTCCAGATCGGATTCGCCGTTCGCAAGCTTCAGCCGCTGGCCAGCTATCTCTCAACTCTCAAGCTTGCCCCCCTCCTTCTCTGCAACTGCTAACTTGTATGTATGGATTTTGTTTTAATTTTTTTTTTTTTTTCCCCAAATCAACTAATCAAGGCTGTAAGACTATAATTCTTGTTTTGCAATTTTTATTTATTTATTTATTTTAGATTGTTCAAAAAATAAAAACCCATATCTTTCAGTTTCCAGATCCAGATCTCCAACCCCTAATCGTCGCCATCCTTCGTCATCGTCTGTTGTCACATCGGTAGGTATTGCAGATTTTTTATTTATTTTTTTGTTTTAATGAGTTGAATCCATTGCGATTTCTTGTTATTGTTGTTTTGTCTTGCATATTGAAGTAGAAATTTATATATACACACAATTTGCTATTATTGATTTACTGAGCATTTTTTATTTTTATTTTCTCCACACATACGTTTTAGAAGTATTGAAAATTTGGGATAGTGAAAAAGAGAAACACAAAGGCAACAAATGAAGCCCTAATAAAAACCATGCCAACTTTACAGAAAAAGAGTTATCCACCAAAATCTGAAGTGCGGAATCATTTCACAAAACAAAAGAAAGAAGGGGGGGGGGGGTTCTGATAAGGGTAATTGTAATTATTGTGGGGGCTTATATAGCTGTCCTACTAAGAATGAAATTAGCACCTTAATTCGACACTAAGGAATCTGTTTAAAGTATAATGTGTTGACCCTAAAGGTCAGTCAAAGACCGTCTAATGATTTTGGTGATTACAAAGCATTAAAAATGTTCTCGAACTAATGTTTACATTGAGCATGCAGAGCAAAGGGATAAAATATGCAAAGCAATTACAACCAAGCAAATAAGACGAAGATACCATTTTGAGAAAAAATCAAGTTTACCTCAAGCATAATGCAATCATGATTAACTTGAAGAAAAAGGGGTAGATTGATTGGTGAGTGATTAGGATCTCTGTCAAAGTAATTTATGAATTAATTTGAATCTCATATCTATAGGCCCATGCATTTACTTCAAATTCATTTTCATAAGATCTTGCATTTTAAAATAAAAATCAAAATTTCCTATTTCTTAGATATTGTAAACGGTTAGGAAGGTCTATCTAACCGATTAGGAGAATGGACAGAACATTCACATTGTGAAATCAGTCCTGTAACCGGTTAGGAAATATCATCTAACCAAGTAGATGAGCAAAACATAGAGCACGACCTGATCAACTGGATCTTATAACTGGTTAGAAAGTTAGTTCTAATCGATTAGATCAACGCACAGAATGATGCATCCAATTATATTTTTTTATAACTGGTTAAGAGAACCTATGTAACCGATTACCTTCGCTCAAACAAGAATACCATTTTTCTTGGCCAATGATGTAACCGGTTAGGAGAACCTATGTAACCGGTTATCTTCGCTAAAACAGAATACCACTTCTCTTGGCCAATGATATAACTAGTTAGGAAGCCTTCTGTACTCGAGTAGTTGGTCTTAAACTGAAAAAGTTTCCTAGCTGATGTAACCGGTTAGGAAGAATCTTGTAACCGGTTAGATAAGATCCAACCTCAGTTTCTCAAGTACTTTAAAGGAGCTAAGACGATCTGAACTTTAGTATTTATTGCTCCAACAATTACTTACTCATTTAATGCTTCGCAACCAACTCCAACAGTCGTATTTGAGCAATTAATGCACTTCATCTTCCTCTTCACTCTATATAAGTTTAAGCATTGATGAAGGTAAGGGAGCGGTTGAGAGATCATTTGAAATATCATTCAAGAGCATTTACTCTAGCATTTATTCATTCAACCATATTAGACTTGAGCTTCATTTGATTCATTTATTACTCTAGTCTTGTGAGCTTACATTTGTATATCTATCTTAAGAGAGATTGAATCTTATATTTCAACTACAAACTTCTCTATAAACTTGTAAGGGTTGGTGTGACCCAAAAGAAGCCTAGAAGAATGGTGTTCTTCTAGTAAGAAAGGGAAGCAAAGGCTTGCTTCATGTGAAGGTTTGCTCTCCACCATTAAGGAGAAACTTTAGTGGATTAGGAAGTCTCAAGAGGGATCTTGAGCCGAGGAGTAATAATTTTTGAACCTCGCTAAAATCTCCGAGTCATTGTTTACAATCTCTTATCTCTATCTCTCTTACATTTATGTTTTGAATTATTTATCTACCATAATTGCTTATTGTATATTTGTTGATTAGAAATTAAATTTGTAAATTTTAAAAATTGCCCATTGACTCTATTCACCCCCCTCTAGAGTTAATTAATGTCTAACATGATGGTAATAAAGACCCTACTAAAAAAATCCTAAGTTTTGGAGGTGATGGTTCTGGTGTTAGTAATTGGAAGTTCACCAAGAAGACTGTCGCAAAGAACTTGCAAGAATGATTATTGCTAAAGAACTTCATTTTAGTTTTGTGTAGAAAACTTATTTTAAAAGGTTTTTAAGTATGTTACAGCCAAAATTTAAGTTGTTTTCTCAAACTACTATGACAAAAGATTGTATTAATATATATAAAGCTGAGAAATGCAAACTTAAATGGATTTTTGAGTCATCGGCTTCAAGAATTTGTCTTACCACTGATTTGTGAACTTCCATCCAAAATCTTGGCTATATGTGTCTTACGGCAGATTATATTGATAAACATTGGAGGTTACAAAAAAAAAAAAATTATTAATTTTCGTGTGGTTCCAACTCCACATAATGTTGACATCATTGCACAAACTGTTGAAGGTTGTTTGTTGGAGTGGCGAATTGATCAACTTTGCACATTAACTGTTGACAATGCAAGTTGTAATGATACGGCAATTTCAACTTTGAAGAGGAAGTTCAATAAGCGTAATGGGCTGTTATTGGAGGGTAAGATGTTTCATGTAAGGTGTTTTGCACACATCTTGAAATTAATAGTGAATGATGGAATTGATGAGGTGAGTGATTTCATCATTAAGATTCATGAAGCAGTGAAGTATGTTAGGAGTTCTCCTTCTCGTTATCAATGTTTCAAGAAGTGTGCTGAGGTGGAGAAGATCACATCTGAAAGAACAGTGTGTTTGGATGTTCCAACACGATGGAATTCAACATATATAATGCTTGGTGCATCACTTGAGTATCAAAAAGCCTTTGAGCAATTAGAAGAGCAAGATTTAACTTTTGCAAAGGGTGCTCCATTTGAAAAGGATTGGTTGTATGGAAAGAACCTACACAAGTTCTTGGATCGTTTTTACATTGTCACAAATCGTATATTGAGGTCTAAGTATGTCACCTCCAACTCCTATTTTCAAGAAGTGACTGGAATTCAAACTTTGCTACGAAAGTGCTCAAAAAATGAAAATGTTTTCTTTAGTAATATGGGGAAAAAAATGATCTTAAAGTTTGAGAAGTATTACAATATTGACAAAATTAATATTTTATTGATAATAGCAGTGGTTTTAGATCCTCGTTACAAGCTGGGATTTGTGAAATTTTGTGTTGCAAAATTTTGTTCAGATACCAAGGTTGAAGAGTTGATAGGGAAGATAAGAGATGTTGATGAGCGCTGAAAAGTGCGCATTTAAACCCCTTAAGTTTGAGTGTTCTAAGACCTTTATCTATCTTATTTTTCCGTTTTAGACTAATTTCATGTTATTTTCTTTTTTAGGTCAATAAAGTTAAAACGAGCTAAAAATGGCTTCTTAAGGCCTCTTTGGAGTCAAACTAAGTCTTAAGGAGAAATTGGAGCAAAAGGAGGCTGATTTGGAACAAAAAGAGGCTGATGCTGAAAAACTGTCAAGTCTGAACGATCACACCAGATCGATCGAACCCTGATCGATCGAACTGTTCGCGAAAGTTATTAAAAAGCATATCTGAAACTCATTTCGAACCAACGCGGGCTGTGCTTGAAAAGAAAGATCCCAGGGCCGAGTTCTCACATTTTTGGGCTCTAAAAGCCTTATATATACGAGTGATTGAACCATTTTTGTAGGGAGATTCATATTTTTACACTATAATTTCTATATTGTTGTAGTTTCTCTCTCTAGAAAGTTAGAGATTAGGGTTAGAAGAGAAGAAGAAAGTGGAGGCTCATCTCAAGAACACATCTCTAAATCCATATACTCTCTCTCTCTAAAGCTTCAAAGAAGAAGAAGAAAAAGAGGAAGAAGAATATGGAGCCGTGTTTGGAGTTTGCTCTTGAGGGTTTCATGACCACATCCACCTCATTCATGATTGGCTAGATCTACATTTAGGGCTTGGATGAGCCCTAAGTCTTGTATAATCTAAACCCTTGTATTTCTATTTTTAGGGATTTATATATATATTGTTGTGATTAGTGCTTAGCCTTGCGATTGTTGATTTAATTCTTCCTTATGATTCTCTATTTTAATTACATGTTGTCTTATGTGTGATTATTTGGGAATTGATCTCTACACTAGATTCTCTATGTTGGTTGCATGTCTATATGTGATTAATTAAGGATTAAGTGATAGCTAAGCATGGTTTTCATTGAATAGGTTTGTCAATTAATTTGATGGATTATACTTACACTTGATGGGTTATTGTACAATTTAATTCATGCTTGTAGGTAGGTAGACAATCTATACTTGATTTGATATTCCATGGCTTATTATTGCAAATTCCATGATTCTTTATATTGATGTGTGCTCTTATTAGATATATTTGTTAATTAATTGATGGATTCTGCCCTTGTCTTGGTGGGTTGTTCTACACTTAGTTTACTTGTTGGTTAGGTAGACAATTTACTCTTGTATTAGATAATTCACACTTTTATATGCAAATTGTGTTTATGTTTGTGGCCACATCTAGATTGCAATAATGTATTCCCCATTAATGGAAAATAGTAGTTAATTACATGAGCTTAGTGGTGATTCCAACACCCTAAGACCTCTCTTTATATCTCTTAAATCCCTATCTCTCACTAGTTTACTTTAATTGCATTTTAATTTAATTGTTTTCTAGAGTAATCAAACAACCAACTTTCCTTTGCAATCTTTTGATACGCTAGAGTCGAAGTTAAATTCCAACACGTATAATCTCTGTGGACGATCCCTCCTCGCTATACTTCATTAGTTGTAGTAGTAGTTTTTATAAATGTAAATTTGACTAGAAAGGCTTCCGAAACCACATTCATATTTTGACCTTGTGAAGTGACATTTCGCATTGAAAAGTCCATTTTCTAAACACTTGGAAAGGGGCTCGTCAAATTTTGGCGCCGTTTCCGGGAATTAACGGTTTTGTTGGAATTAAACTAGACAATAGTGTTCATTTGATTGCTTTTATTTTTATTTTATTTTCCATTGTATATTCTTTTCTCTTGTTCTCATTATTATTTGTCAATTAGGTACTTGACTACAAGAAAAGCAAACTTTGGAACTTGAAGCAATCATTGGAGCTTAAAGCTAACATTAAAATTTGAAGTTGCTTAAGGACCTTTATGAGCAATTCTTGAAACTCTTGTATTTTAATTGTGCAATTCTTTACATGCTTGTGATAGCCCTTGTTGAGGCTAATTTCTTTGCTTTATTTTAAGTCCAAGCATCGGCTCGTGTGGAGGCCAAAATTTTTTCTTACATTTGGATTTTTAATTGTGAATGGAGGAATTGATCCAAGTTTGAGGGGAAATTATGTCCCTTCACCTTGTGCTCCTCCATCATATTTTAATCCTTATGAGATTGAGTCCAATTCATTTCATGCATCATCTTATTATGGACTTAATCGCTCTTTTAATCATTCTTATGACTATTACCCTTCACCACCATTTTATGACGAACCACCTCCATCACCTTATTCACCCGAGTTTAAAGAAAAAATGTTAGCTCTACTTGATGGGCTTAATTCACAAACTCGACTTATTCTTTCACATTCTCAAATTTTAGCCAAGCTTGAAGCTCAAGTTGAACAAATTGCAAGTACTCTTTCTCATCAAGAGGAAGAGGAAGAGGCAAATGAAAAAATAGCAAGAACTTTTATTTACAAAGATGAGGATGATGAGAGTGAAGATGAAGAAGTAGTAAGTGAGTTAATGCCTAACACTCTATCTTGTATAGAGGATGAAGTGGCAAATGAGTTAGTGGCTAGCCCAATAGAGCACAACATGATTAATGAGGAATTTCCTTGTTTTGATTATGATTTTATCTCGGCCTTTGATACTTTAGAGAGTGAGAGATGTTGACCACTATAAAGGTAGAAGAGGAGGAACTTGTTGAAGAGGGCCTTCCTTCTATTATCTCCAAAGACCCTCTTGAGACATACCTTTTTGAAATGTATAAAAATTGTGGTTTTGACCTTGAAAGCTCTAAAAATGAAGTGAACTCTCTAATGGATTCCTTAGCTAACTTGGAAGGTGAGGAGATTGTGATTTTCGAGGAAGAGAAAAAGGATGAAGATGAGGTGTTTCTTATTAATCCAATTGAGTCTTTGAAAGACTTTGCCTTGCCAAGTGCAAGGCCGCTTATTATTAATTTTATTTTCAAGGCCGTAGATGAAAAGAAACAAATTGCATCTTTCATAATTTCTTTTCAAGTCATTCTTTTGGAGGATGTGTATATTGTTGTAAGTGAGGTATTAAATGAGAAAATGGAAAAAATGGTCAATAAGGATGTTTCATATCCGGTTTTTAATTTGTTTGATTAGTGAGTCGACCCAACGTCTTACTAGAAACGTTAAGCACTAATATTCGTAGAGTTTCACAACTCTATTCCTTCCCCATTTCTTTTTATTTTTTTCTTCTTATGGCATCTAGATATGTTCTATTGCACTTCATTATCAAAAATCAGATTTTTAGACCATATTCATGCATTTTGGGGCCTTAGAAAATTTCTGCCTTTGAAAATTTTTCGAAATTCAGCAATTTGTGCCCAGGCAGTTTGATTGATCAACGCATATTCCGATCAATCAAACATGGTCTCAATCGATCGAAAATAATTTCGATCGATTGGAATTGCGTCAGAAATTTTTGCTCCCAGGTCTCATTTTTTTCAGTGACTTCAATCGATCAAAAGGAGATTTTGATCAATCGAGCAAAAAAAAAAAAAAAAATTACATCTCTTATTTCCTTACATTTTCATTCCTTGCATATTTATTTTTGTGTGTGTGTACAAACTTGTTATGTCTAAATAATAAATAAATAAATAAATAAAAATAGTTTTTGTTTTCATTTTTCATTATTTTGTTCTTGCATCCTTTCTTACTTTTTGTTTTTCATTTCTTGCATTGTACATATTCTTTCATTACATTTTACCTTTTTTATTTTTCTTTTTGCATTTTGTTCATGCATTTTATTCTTTGATTTTTTTGCATTTTATATATTCTTGCTTTTATTAAATGAAAAATATAAAAACTTTTCACCATTGTGCCCTTATGTGTAGTCATGCTACTTTCATATTTTCTACTGGGCTTGATCTCATATATCTCTTTTATCTTGTGTTATATTGCCTTAGAATGCATGATTTGATTATTCTTATCCCATTTGATATTTGATGTGAGTTTGCTAATATGGTTATTCAAATAGGCTGTCGATTCCAAGTTTGAGGGAGACCCTTTTCATGTTAGATCATTGCCGGGCTTCATGATTTCATCCCCATGGTATACTCTTTCCATCTTTTCCATTGTTCTCATTGCACATTGAGGACAATGTGCGATTTAAGTTTGGGGATAAGGTGTCTTTGTTGCATTCTATTTAAAGTTGAGTTTTAAATACATGATTGAGATTTGGGATCCATGTTGCGATGATTTTGATCTTTTGAGGACTATATTACTTAAAATTTCAAAATTGCTTGACTTCAGAGTCCAATACTCCTTGTATGCCTCGTGGATGCCACTTAGGAGTTAATTTTTCGAAAGATTGATATCTTGTTGGCACTTGTGGTCTACATCATCCTGATTTTGTGATTGTTTTGAGATTCACTCTAAGATTCTACACTAGCACAGGCGCACACTAGCATTCATTTATGGAGTACATGCTTTGTTGATTATTGAATTGGTTATATCCCAATTGAGCTAGTAGTGCATTGAAAGCTTTCATTTTGACAAAAGTGGATGACAATCCCTTTTTATTGAGTTGCCGGGATTCTAGCCTCATCAAGCACTAAATTTCTCGCGCCGAAAGGTAGAGGGCCCAAACTCTAGGTTAATAACTTGACATACAAAAAAAAAAAAAAAAAAGATGCAAAAGCAATAAAAAAGTGAGGATTTCTCCCAAAAAGTGAGAAGTGGGAAATGATTAGGTAAAGGTTGTTTTGATTTGTAACCTAGTTGATTTGAGCTTGTAAGTCCTTAGGGGTGTTTGAACACCTAATGCCCTAAAGCCGTCTAGTTTGGGAGTCATTAACCTAACGCTCGACCTCATGGATCGTTAGAAAACTTAATAAATTAACACATTGCACTATGCTTCCATCTTTGATCCTTAGGGATAGAGAAAAAAAAAAATTTGGGTGAAAAGAATAAACGCACCTAGATTAATAAAGTTTTAAGGTTCACTATTTTTTTTGATGATCAGTACTAGATTTGTGTGTTAGTTTGAGGGTAAGGATGTGATCATTTCTTT